TCATGTCACGTCTGTTGCTTTAGCATTTTAATTAACATGTTACAATGAGCATTTACAGTTTTCAGCAGTGGTGGAAAGAATTCTGAAAATCTGTACTCAAGTACAAGTACTGTTACATTGCTAAAATATTACTCATTTACAAGTAAAAGTACTGGTGTTAGAGAAATACTCAAGTAAAAGTACAAATTATTCATAAAAACCTCAGAGTATTATTTATTTTTAACGGCTGATGTCACCATCACTTCTCCAGACTGGGGCTGCCTGGAAATTGTGTTTTCCTTTACCAAAAGTTAAAATACCAACAATCTATTAATCATTAATAATTGATAAAATACAAAACAAGTGTTTTTCCCTAATTTTTTTGTCATTTTAAGTTTTTATTTCCTTATTCAGCAAATGTCTCCGGCACACAAAGAACTAAATGACCAGAGGAGCCACAACTATTGATTAAATATCCATGAATCCATTTTAACTGGTTAAATTCTTCAACTCTCCCACGCTGCTTCAAGGTCACTCTGAGTTAACATAGCCGCGGTGTGCAGCACACAACACAACACGATGACATCATCGACTTGTACAGTGCTGAAAGGCGAGACAGTCTCAACTTTCAGCTAAAAAAAGACCGCTCTAGCTATTATAGTTTTTATGTTATGGCAGTTTACAGTATACACGGGATCTTACTAGCAGGGCACCTCCAGCGGCCCGCTGCTGCTCCGTTTTCCGTGGGGTAAATAATACGTAGCTCATTTCCCGAGTCCAAAAAGAAAGGCAAATGGCGCCGGACCCGAGACCTGCCGCCCGCTGTCAATGTATTTCAGCAAAATTCTCAAAGACTCATTTTAATTTGATAGCGTTTGGTTATCAGCCTTTCGGTTTTCCCACTCTTAGCTTTTCATAAAAGCTCATTTGACAAAGAAAAAGCTAGCGGTTGGAAGTAGTTCTAAATACATGCAACGTAAGAAGCTAGCAAAAGACATTTGAAGGGATCATCATAGCACCATGCAAAACGTTCAGATTAGAGAGGTTAGTTAATAAGTTGGGGGACAGGCGGGAAAAATACCAACTAAATAATAAAGAGATGCATACCTGCATCTTTTCCTCGTTTCTCCTCCTCTTCTTTTCTTTTTTTCCGAAATTGGGCACCAGATGGCTTCGACCGCTTCTTCTCCATTATGTTAGTGAGCGGTGATATGTGAAACGGTATCTGTATCCCTCCATCATCACTCTCCGAGATCCCTCCGCCCCCCACCTGATGAAGGGCGCTATAGAGTGCACTACAGAGGCGCGGCGGACACAAGGGGGCGCAATAAAATCACAATATAAACGCAAACAATGACTTTGTTGCGCTTTTATTACAGAAATATTATTATTATCATCACTCATCACTATTATTATTATGAAGAACATGTGATTTCTATGTTTTGCTGATGTATCGGTTGATGGAAGAAAAAAAAAATAATAATAATAATTAAATGCCGCCTCCTCCAGACTGCCGCCCTGTTCGGCCGCACATGTTGCACATATCAAGCTCCGCCACTGCCTGTCAGAGCGTTTGACTGCTGGTTGGTCAGCCGATGCTGCTGTCAGTCATTGCGGGAATGTGTACGGTGTGGGGAAACAGCTTTAACATCTCTCCTCTGCCTGAGCTGATGGTGTCGCGTGGCAGTGATGCGCCTCTTCCGCAAAATTCGGCCCATGATGGAGCTCGTGCCAGACTGTGGATGTCTGATGTTGGAGGACACACAGATATCTTTTAAAAAATCTCAGAGATTTCGACTAATGAATACCTGGAAAATTTACCGGTATGAACTGTAGCCTAGAAAAATTGCTGCCATGCTGAAAGGTTATATTTAGAAGTGGCGGCAGTGCTGGTACCGGTCCAAAGTACTGCTCTCTGTCCCTACAGGATGAGTCTGATGATCTGATAATCAGAACCTGATCATTATGATCCGTTCCTGACAACCGCCGTTTCTCCCTCCCCAACCCACGTGCCCGGCATTGCGCACGATACTGGCCCAAAAACTCCGCCTTAAACCGGTTCTCCCAACATGACCACATACAGGCCAGCCTGGTCGGACATGCATCTGTGGCCAGAACTTTCTTCTTTTTCAATCTCTCCTTTTCTGCTCTACCTTTCCTGGTCCGTCAAGGTCCATTTTATCTCTCGGGCCAAAGGTGCAGTGATGCAGTAGCCGCTCTGGGGGTGATGGATGTCTGCTGCGCTTTGCCAGACCCTGACAAAGTGAGAGGAGGGGGTGTGTTTGTGCCCAGTTTGCTCCGTTTGTGCGAGCATCAGGACAGTAGATGCCCTGATGAGCTGCATGACGGATTGCTCATTTAGATATGACACACGTCATGACTGGCAATCACTGTGCGCTCAGTTTAACGGCCAGGCCACCAGGAAATCTCCCGTTTCTCCCGATTACCAGTCCACCACTAAAGAGATGTGTTAACTTAGAAAATGTGGGCGCAATTTTAATTACTTGTCAACCCCCAACATTTTTTTAAAATTATAAATAAATAAAATTAAGATGAAAAACCAAATTATGTATCTTGATTTATTCATCTTTCTAAAGGCTTAGTTTTGCATCTAAATTGTTTTGATTGTACTTTAAGTTGTGTTTAGTTGTGTGGGGGACGTTAGGGCCCAAAGGGCTGGGGGGCCGGACATGGCCCACGGGTCGCCAGCCGAGGTTCGCTAGTTTAGATGATGCATTGGGGCTTTTAATTAAAGGAAGCATCAAAAGGGGAAGCATGAAGCTTCTTCATTAATAGTGTTGACCTCTCTTTCCATTTCATTAGTTAAATCTTCTAACTTATTCAAATGTTAGTGTGTGTCAGATCCAGGGCATCATAAGATCTCGTCTTTAATCGTACTGAGGAGATACAGCAGCTCCACAGCATGAGAAAACCTCCTTCATGTTTAATCAGCGGGTGTTCCTCTTCCCAAAGGGCTTCATTTACTTGTATATATAAACAAGTGGCGGCACTGGATCCACGCAGAGCTTCGCTCTGGTTTCCCTGGCTATCAAGACTGATTCTTATCTTTGAAAACTTTTGTAAATATTACACTTTTGCTTCTGCACCTACACACAGCTTGTTGTAGCGCTTGTAATCTGAAACAGTCACAGATTTTTCATATTTTATTCTTACAGAGTTTAAAAGATCCAGATGTTTTACGGCCGTAAAGATGCTAGCCACTAATATTTTGTTTTGTATTCTTGTAGTTTCACACTTTGGATCCTTTTAAAACATTCTGGAGGATCAAAACCTTTTATTATCATTCAGATTTGAAGTGTCTGAGATTTTCTAATGATGAAAAATCAATGTTTACAAATGTCTCCTGCTACCTGAAACCCTTTTTAAAAACTATTTGTTATATTGAAATAATCTAGTGAAAAAAGATGTGGCAACAAAAAAAGTTGGTTTTTATTCATATAATGTTGTTAGATCTATTTTAAATGTTTTGCTGACAAAATATTTTCACAATTAAAGATGGTTGTGAGTTAGGGTGCTGTTGTTTTTTTAAGTTATTTGATTTTTTTCCCCCAATCAGCCTTGATTAAACATGATTAGTGTTTTTATTGTATGGATCGTGCTGACGGATTAATTTTATCTTCCTTAATAAGTTGGTCCCAATCAGACATAATGACCAACAGGTGAGGTAGAACAACAAAACACTGATATGTCCCTAATACCTGATAAGATGAGAACCGTCAGTCTTGGAGTTGATGAGTTGGAAGAAGAGAAACTGGACATGCGTGAGGATTTGGGGATTTTGACAAAAGTCAGATTGAAATGATTGGATGGCTCGAATAAAAATATTCATAACTAAAATATCCAGTTGGTTGTTTTCAGTCTGCAGCTGTTCATAAAAAACAGCCAAGGGCATTAAAATCAAAGCCAAGATCAGTCAAGATTAAGATTGATCCATCCACCACTGTCTATACCCGCTTATCCATGCAGGGTCGTGGGAGGCTGGTGCTTATCTCCAGAAATCTCTGGGCAACCAGGCAGAGTACATCCTGGACAGGTTGCCAGTTCATCACAGGGTGATTTGGATACAAGAGCTTAAATAACAAACAACAGGAGCTTGTTTGAACAAACATTTTTCTTTACACTGCAGGTGTAGCTCACAGATGGTTGAAATTTCTGAGAATAACAACTATTAAGTGTCAGAAAGTTTGCAGCTTTGCTCTACATTCATGAAAAAGACTTCAGGATGCTAAAAAAATCCAGCAAGCACCAGGAGCATCTCATGATGCTGATCCAGCTACCAGTGCATGGCTTGATGAGGACTGGCAGCAGGCCGGGGTGAGGGCATCAACATGCACAGTGAGGAGAAGACCATTGGAGGATGGTCTGGTGTCAAAAAGGGCAGCAAAGAGCACTAGAGACATCAGTCCTGTGTCATGCCAAAAGTAAAGCATCCTGACACCATTTATGTGAGGAGGGAGTGGACTCACTCACTGTTTAACACCAGAATGGCCATCGCTAAATAATGGTACCCAAACATCCTCCCAGAGGAACTCCTCCAACCATTAAGGAACAGTTTCATCATGACTTAGGCCTTTTCCAACATCAAGAAGCACTGTGCCATAAAGGTAGTGATAAATCAAGAAACATATTGAAATATAGAAATGTTGGGTTCATGTAACTCCTCAGAAATGAATCCCAAAGAGAATGTGTGGATCATCCTCTTGAAGCAGGTGGACAAACAAATCACTGATTATGAAGAAGGGTCTGCCATCAGTGAAGCTGAGCTGCAGTGTGCTGACTCATACAGAGGAAAACACCAACACTGCAAATACTGAATACAATCAATGAAAGCCTCTGAAAAACATAAAAGATTTACAATTGAGCAGAAATATCTGACAAAAGATGTAACACCACTGAAGCAGACGACTGTGTAAATGTAAAGGTGTATCATTCTCAAAACTTTTATCAGTGGCTGTACAGAAGAGTACAAAGCAAATGAAAGCAGTTTTTTTCAGTCTTACCGTTTACACAAACACTAGATGGCTCTATTGTGAACACTTCACTGCACGACTGTTTCAGGATCTGCAACAGAAAGCAACAAGGTGCAGCTGAAGCCATCAGACTGATATTTAACAAAAATCTTCTCACTCTAAATGCATGAATGTTTTAGAAACCATGACCTCACCTTGCTGACGATATCCTTGAGGGCATGAAAGCCAGACATAACAGGGAAGACTTGCTCTGTGCCGTCTGCTATGTCTTCCAGCTGCATTCAAAATCAATCAAAACAGTTTGTCTTGAAACAATTTTTCTTCTAATTCCATCTTTTAGTTCTTTTTAAAACACAGAAAGGTTTTATTTACCTGCAACGTTTAGTTTGCAAATGAAACGTTGCAGGTAAATAAAACCTTTCTGTGTTTTAAAAAGAAAAAAAAAGATGGAATTAGAATTTCTACACAGCAAGAACACACCAAAGATATTTTTTTCTTCTGCATTTTTTTCTTATTAAAGATTGGTGAGTTCATGTGTTTCTGCCTCTCAGGGAGGTCTTTACATCCTATTGATCCAGCAGAATATGAGGAGAGGGAGAGAAGATGGTTGTAGGAGATGAACGCTTCAGGCAGCTAAAGCTTTCATTTCCTCCATGACAGCGAAGCAGGAAGTTAGTCTGGCACTACACAATTAGAGTGATGCAATTACTTCCTCTGGAGACCACTGAGTGGTAGTGGGCAGTAACGGGGCAGAAGATCACTCGTTTTAAGGTGCAGAAAAGAAAAATGTGAATTTAAAACTAGCTCAGATTGATTCATTTTTGATACAAATTAACAATGTGATTAAAGATCCTGCATTTCAAATAGGAGTCTCTATTAAATTAGATGCTGATGCACTTCCTAAATGTAATTACAGACCCCCCCCCCCCCCCCTGCTCTGTAAATCTCATTATGAATAATGAGACGCTGATGACAGAGGAGACCACAAGTCACAGCAGATGATTGATCCTCAAACCCTGTGGTGATATTTTTCAAAGTCATGGGTGAATTACAGCTGTGGAAACAGAATTAAGCTTCTTGTGGTTTCTGATGTTTTGTCACACATATGTTTAAGATCAGCAAACATATTTTATTATCAGACAAAGGCAATCTAATACAAAAGGCCCTTTAAAAATAACTTCATTTATTGATGAGAAAAGCTAAAAACATCCTGGCCCTAAATGAAAAAGTCAATCGGTGTGACTAACCGTGATTGACAACATTATCTGCAGACAAACTGTTAGGCCAAAGCTGTGTCCAGTTTTAGTAACGACACCTGGAAATAAAAAAAAGACCTACAACGAACCTGTCTGACTAATTCAATATGTTAAAAGATCCATCCATTCTCCTCCGTTTATCTGCAGTTTTGGTCGCGGGGGTAACAGCCTAAGCAGGAAGGCCCAGACTTCCCTCTCCCCAGCCGCTTGGGTCAGCTCCTCCAGGAGAATCCCATTGTGTTCCTTGGCCAGCTGACAGACATAGTTCCTCCAGCGCGTCCTGGGTCTTCCTTTAGCCCTTCTCTCAGGTGGACCGCCCAGAAAACCTCTCCAGGGAGGCATCCTAACTAGATGCCTGAGCCACCTCAACTAGCTCCTCTCGATGTGGAGGAGCAGTGGATCTACTCCGAGCCCCTCCCGGATGACCGAGCTTATCACCCTATCTCTAAGGGAGAGCCCAGCCACCCTGTTGATAAAACTCATTTTGACCGCTTGTATCCGCGATCTCGTTCTTTCAGTCACTACCCAAAGCTCGTGACCATAGATGAGGATAGGAACACAGATCAGTCAGTAAACTGAGAGCTTTACCTTTCTGCTCAGCTCTCTCTCCACCATGAAAGACCGATACAGTACCTGCAGTACTGTAGATGTAGCACCAATCCGCCTATTGATCTCCTGTTCTCCCAGACCCCTTATGATGAGCAACATACATGGAAACAGTGTTCCCTGACCCAGAAGAGGGTCACCAGGGCCCTCCTCTGGTGCCAGGCCTGGAGTTGGGGCACGTTGGCGAGCACCTGGTGGCCAGGCTTTGATCCATGAAGTCAGGCCAGACACAGCCTAACCCTAACCCTAACAGAAGTCTAAATCTTGACTACTTGCAGCTTTTTCCCCCCTATAATTCAATGAATTCAAATTTTCTAAAATTTTTCATGAAAATAACTTCAAACACATTCCTGCTGCTTGTTTTTAGGACATCTGACAGTGTTTGGTTACGCTACCAGATTGAGGTGTGTTAGTCAGTCTGGGCCAGAGACAACGGACCCTTTCAGTTCTCACAGGAAGACAAACAAAACATCAGTGTTCAAACAAGCAGCAGTATCACTTACAGAGACAGACTTTTCTCTCACACTGCCCTGTGGAAGTCAACATCAAAGAGATAAAAGAAGTTTGGAAATAAAGTCCCTCCTACCTGTTTGGGGTCAAAGTCCATGACTCCAACACAGTACACTCTGGCTCCAAAGGCTCTGGCGTTATCAGCCTGGGGATCGCAACACCACAAATTAAATTCTGTAAAATGAACCTACATTTATGGGCTATAACTTGAAAGATTACATCAAATGAACCGCTTTAGCTCCTTCTCAGCAGTCTCATTTCATGCAGCATTAGGAAACAACAATGTGAGCCTTTTGATTTTTTTTCTTTAATGGGTATGCATACACATTTCCCTCAAATAACCAAAGTTAGCATCTGGAAAACAAGCTAATCCAATTTAAAAATGCAGAAAACCTCTTTAAAACAACAGCTATGTTTAATATGAGCCCATTAACCCTTCCACTGTCTTTAAGGGTCACCCCACGAGGAAAGGTGACCATTGAGCAGGGTTGATGGTTTATCCCTTGAGGTCCATGTGGCAGGGGTGAAGAGGTGCTCACTCCTCACCCCTGCCACATGGAGCCAAGGGATAAACCCTCAACCCTGCTCAATGGTCAACTTTCCTCATGGGGTCACACCCATTAGGACAGTGGGAGGGTTAAAAGTATATTTCTGTTTTAATTATGAAGCAGTGGCTGAAAAAATAACATGAAATTAGCATTAAAAACCTCACCCATGCCCACTTTTACTGTCATTAAATATATAAATATAGTGTGTGATTGTGTGTGTTATACCTCCTGTACGCTGAGTTCATAGGGGTAGATATCCAGCTTGCCATCAGTCAGCACAATAATAATGCTGGATGAGGGTGAAGTTTGTGTTTTCATTTGTTCAGACACCTAAAAAGTGGAAAAAATGTCCTATTTTTTTATGAAATGTGCAAGAAAAATACAAAACTTTACCAAAGAAAAAAAAACCCAGTCAGTTGTTTTTGGTAAGATTTCAAAAGATCTCATGTCAGGAAAAGTGCTAAATCACATCTGTTAAATGAACCTGTGTAACTAGGACTGCTCAGTGCAGATTAGTGAAATATGTCATTTTCTTACCGCTTTTAAACCTTCGTGCATGTAAGTTTCCCCAGAAGGAATGATTTGCTTCAGCCTGTTTAGACCGTGATCTATGTTGGACCTGAGAACCCAGGAAATAAACCAACATGGTGTAAAAGTTACCTTTAGAAGATAATGCTTCTCTCGATTGTCGGCGAAGACAGAGGAGTTATTAAGAGCACAAAATGGTATGAATAGAGATGTGGAGTGGAAACGCATACCTGTCTCCTGTTAGGGGAAGTATCACAGCAGCCTGAGCTGAGAAGACAATGTAGGAGACCCTCATCCGGGGACTGAAACACACAGGAAGCTTAGTGAAAATATGAATACCCTTTAGTTCCTTAATTATTGGAAAAAAGGACTGAAATCCTGTTTTTCCGAACACAAGTTCTCTTTGAGGTAGAAAACACTTTGCAGCTAATGAATGATGTCAGCATGTGGAGGGGTTGTGATGCTTAGAGGCGATTGAAATGGCTTTTTAAAAGGCTACATCACAGGCGACCATAAACCATAGATATGTCATTAAAGCTGAGAATTCAGTTGTTCAGTTCATTATGCCATCTAAGTTTCCTATGTAAGAAAACCCAGCAGAATGCATCGAGCCGTTGACTTGTGTCAGTGACTTTACAGCAATCACTAAACAAGCATGTCGACGATGAAGAGGAAACCTCAAGAAACCTCCACAGAACCTGGCTCAGAATGAGCAGCCGTCCGCCACGAGTCACAGGGAGAAGACAGAGCAGAATACACACATGAGAGGAGAGCTTCAACGGAAGCCCAAGAGGTCCAAGCAGAAAGTCAATTTGTAAAATGTTTTCTTTAGATGCTTGGAAATGGAACAATATGGCACCGCAACACCGAGCACGTGTGACTGAAAATAACAGCCATCCTTTCTGAGTTACGTCACACACCACCACTGTGTCTTGCCCGTTCTCTGTCACTTTTATTTTCTCTGATAAAAAGAAAAATTCACATGAGTTTAATCTTTGGGAGTCATTCACGAGGCTAAATAAAACAACAGCATGACTTTTATTTGTCTTGTATTTATAATCGCTTGGTGCCAAAACCAATATTCTATTAATCACACCACTCAGAGATTTACACAGCATTAAAACCAAACGTGCTCGTACAAATATTAAGATAGGAACCGGCTCGGCTCCTCACAGCTGCTTTTCTGTTTTGGTTCATTGTTAGAGAGCTGTGGTGAGAACCACCTTAACAGCTGAAACCATGTGGCATTCATATTTAGCACCCTGTTATTAAACCTAAAGATGTCCCATACTTGTCTTAGACCCTAAGGAGTTTGAGAGCAGTTGGCACCTATGTGAAGTCTGCAGCAGGAAATAGACATGCCCTATTTATAATTCACTTTTACATGGGGAACAGGAAAGATGCAATGAGAGACAGAGGAGGGCAGACTATCAACACTGAAATAATTACCTGACAAACCTAGTGGTGAGCTGCTCCACAAACCCGTAGATCTCATTCCAATGTCCCCACACGCTGCCTGACCTACAAAAACAGGAAATCTAGGAATAAATTAACATGACTTAGAAAAAGTTTTGAATTGCTTTTCTACTCATTTCGCTATTTGTAAAAGTTTATATATATATATATATATATATATATATATATATATATATATATATATATATATATATATAAACAGGACATAAAGTAAAGCTGCATTAGTGGAACACAACTGTGGAAGATTTTCATAAATTAAGAATTATGGTGGAGTTTTTTTTTTTAGTGCATGCAAATCAGATCATATTATCATGCTTTTGGAAAAGTTTGTTCAGACTTTGTTTAGCATGAAAACACGAAGGGAACTTTATCTTAACCAGAGTGGATTTAAATAAATAAAACAACCATTCAGTGCAGCAGAACGCCAGAGGGACCAGAACACAGCCATACAAGGACAGGACCTGGATTCGGGATGAGGTAGTAATCAGCGCGCCTCCATAACCCACCTGTCCAGGACAAAATAAATATCAAACGCTCCATCGCAGGACGCGCCGTCGTCTTCACGCAGCGCCGAACAAACACGCAGAACAAGTAGGCAGCAGATCCAGATCCGACCCATAATAATCCATGAATTTGGTTATGGATGTTTATCAGAGTCCTTCATCCCCATCGCGTCGGTCCGCCCGGGCGGTCACATGTTGAATCACCGCTGCAGCTTTCTGCTCACATGAGACAGGAGCTGTCGGAGGAATGAGGAGGGCGGCAGGGCGCACATCTGCAGACACTGCTGTCAAAACACCCGCAATGAAAACAGACACGGACTTCCTCCTGCAGGGCCCTACAAAATAAACACCTGCTTTCACTTCTGAGGTTAATACGACCTCAAGGTTTGCCCAATTTAAACGTTTCTTTCAAATTCATGTTGATTTAAAATATATATATTTTTAAATTAGGCAAAATAATAGGAACCAAATGAAATAAAATGTAACTTTTTATTTCACAACGTTACAGAGTTTTTGCACATGAAAGCAGAAAGTGACATAGCAAACTGAGCAAAATATTATAAAAATATTTGTGTGAACATGTAAACATCAGCTGACACTGCTGCTAACCATTTAACATTCTCCCTCTCCTGATCATAACATTTTACTCTCTTTGGCCTGGAATGTGCTACTACTAGTTCACCTGTTCAGTTATTTATAGATTCACTAAGATAAAGACAATAAAGTTTATATTTTATTAAATAGATTATTTACTAAGAAATCCCAATGTAGTCGTGTGTGTGTGTGTGTGTGTGTGTGTGTGTGTGTGTGTTGCCCTGTCTTCTCGATCCCCAGTGAGTCGTGGTGGATGGCTGCTTATACTGAGTCAGGATTCTCTGGTTTCTTCCTGTTAAAAGGGTGTTTTCCTCTCCACTGTCGTTACATGCTTGCTTAGTATGAGGATTGCTGTAAAGACATTGGCACTCATCAGTGACTCCATGCAATCTGCTGGGCTCCTTATATGAGAAACTTTTTACTGACTGGCTTAATAAACTGACCTGTATTGGAACATTTGCTTTCTGAAGTTCCTTGAGATGACTCTTGTTGTGATTTTGGGTTATATAAATAAACTGAATTGAACTGAATTTTTTACAATTCTGACAGTGAAATGATGAGTGCTGATAATAACTGATGATATAGCAGCTAACGGATAGCCTATAATTTCATGTAATCCTCTCTGATTTACAGGTCAGCCATGGTTCTTAAGTCTTACATGAAATAAAAAACAATAATCCCAGTCATGTTTATGACAACCATTACAATGATGGTGATGATTATTAATTATTTTCTACTAATATTTTTTGTTAAGAATGATGTTGATAAAAACACTAAATATGAAAAAGAGGTGTTTTCTAACATTTGCATGCTAATCTGTAAAATGTTAGCACAAATAAAAAAAACAAACATCTGACTTTTATTTTGAACATTTTGTCATCTATTTCCTGTTTGCTCTTTGGACTTTAGAGGTCTCCACAAAAGTAGTTGGCTCAAGAAAGAGCTGATCAGGGTTCAACAACAAATGAATGACAAGATGTTTTTTTATCAGCGAGGATAAGGACCTAAATATTATTAAGAAGAATGTGTCCCTCTTTTAGAAAAACTAGCGTGCTGAAATAGAACATTTATGGAAGTATGCTTCTATTTGGTTTCAATACAACAGTGGCTTATTGCAGTTTGTACTACATATCTGACTGTCTTATAAATCATCATTGCTGCATTTTTCTATGAAAATGTCTTAAACAAGTGCATCATAATCTGTTAATCCACAACAGATGGAACCACAATTAAACTGGCTAACTCTAGGATCTAGTATGCTTGTTTTTGTACGGTTCTAATCCAAAAACTCATCTTTTAAATACTGGAATTAATCAAATCCTGCTCAGATGCCATGAGTCAGAAATAAAGCTTTCAACAATCTGATTACTTCCATTTTTTATTATTGTCTAGCGTTTCTTCTTCTATGTTGCAAAGATAAACAAAAAAGCGCCACTTACTTTCACCATTCTGCACACAGTCACATTTCATCAGGGCGGGGCGCTGACTTCATTCTTGCTAATCCTTTTGGGATGCGGTGCTGTAATTAAACATTTCATTGTCCTGTCTGCAGGGATCCAATGTGGATTCAGAGTTGGTTCCAGATCAACAAATCATTTGGATAAAGTCACGACGCAGTAAACAACTTGTATAATTACATAGCAATGTCTCTGTGTCAGCAAAATCAAACCCCTCCCTGATATGGATTATATGATCTCTGTTGTGTTTGAGGGTGTGGATCTACTTGTTTCTTTAGTGAAGATTAAGACTTTTATTAAATTTCAAACTCTACAAAGTCCTAAGGCACAGGGCTGATTCATAAAGAAATGTAAAAATTTTCCTTTAAGATGGTAGCAGTTTGGTAGCTTTAGTCAGATGTTTTATGAATGTCTTCACAGCTGGAAACCAATGAGATGTGACCGCAATCAAAACTCTCCATCATAAACAGATAAAATAAAACCTCTCTGGGCTGTGGTGGCAAGTCTGACCTAATGAGCAAACAGACAAAAAGGACTCACATGCTAATGTCAATAAACAAGCTGTGAATTATTCTCATCAAACCCATGAGAGGGATTTTATGATGTTGTTTGGGATTTCCACTGAGAAACCTCGAATAACTGAAATTAAAAACAATTATTTAGGTAGCATTTGCTTAATAGGCAGCAATTGAATTGTGGGGGAAATTTGTTGAAATAAAAGAACAGCATATTGGAATAGTGAATGAATAAAAATGTGACTCAGGTCAGCCTAAAGAAACCTTAAAGTAAACAAACATTGCATTATTTGTAGTAAACAGGACAGCTTGGGGGTCAGAGGGACAGTCAGGAACCTGGCCCTCCAACTAAGGATGTGGTCTCCCCAGGTATACAAAACCAGGGGCTTGGGGGTTTAGGCTTTTGAGTATACTGCCACCCTATTGGTGGGGTTGCCAAACTCTGATCTCTCCCTTCTGCCTCCTGCTCCAGCCCTGGTCCTGCACGCCCAATTTTAATTGCTTTATAACTTGAAGTTAGGATCCCCCGTCTGCATCCCACCACTTGCATCCTTCCCCCATAATGCACATTTGTTACACACACTACTGCACAGAGAGATTATGTGGCCATCAGTCAAATCAAATCAGATAACAAATATCAAGTTAAGAAAATAAAAATATAAAAATTAAAAAAAGGAAAATAAATTGCATTTCTATTCTGTAAATGGTTATTTTTGGTGTATTTGGTTTATATTTTTAGGGGTAGTTTACAGGTGCTGGCCAGTAAATTAGAATATCATCAAAAGGTTGAAAATATTTCAGTAATTCCATTCAAAACGTGAAACTTGTACATTATATTCATGCAATGCACACAGACCAATGTATTTCCAATGTTCATTACATTTAAATTTGATATTTATAGGTAACAACCAATGAAAACATCAAATCTGGTATCTCAGAAAATTAGAATATTCTAAAGGCCAATGAAAAAATGTTTGTTTCTCTAATGTTGGCCAACTGAAAAGAATGAACATGAAAAGAATGTGCATGTATAGCACTCAATACTTAGTCGGGGCTCCTTTTGCCTCAATAACTGCAGTAATGCGGCGTGGCATGGACTCGATCAGTCTGTGGCACTGCTCAGGTGTTATGAGAGCCCAGGTTGCTCTGATAGTCGTCTTCAGCTCCTCTGCATTGTTGGGTCTAGCGTATTGCATCCTCCGCTTCACAATACCCCATAGATTTTCTATGGGGTTAAGGTCAGGCGAGTTTGCTGGCCAATCAAGGACAGGGATACCATGGTCCTTGAACCAGGTGCTGGTGGTTTTGGCACTGTGTGCAGGTGCCAAGTCCTGTTGAAAGGTGAAGTCTGCATCCCCATAAAGTTGGTCAGCAGCAGGAAGCATGAAGTGCTCTAAAACTTCCTGGTAGACGGCTGCATTGACCCTGGACCTCAGGAAACAGAGTGGGCCAACACCGGCAGATGACATGGCACCCCACACCATCACTGACGGTGGAAACTTTACACTGGACCTCATGCAACGTGGATTCTGTGCTTCTCCGCTCTTCCTCCAGACTCTGGGTCCTTGATTTCCAAAGGAAATGCAGAACTTGCTTTCATCAGAAAACATAACTTTGGACCACTCAGCATCAGTCCAGTCCTTTTTGTCCTTGGCCCAGGCGAGACGCTTCTTGCGCTGTTTCATGTTCAAGAGTGGCTTGACACACGGAATGCGACACCTGAATCCCATGTCTTTCATGAGTCTCCTCGTGGTGGTTCTTGAAGCGCTGACTCCAGCTGCAGTCCACTCTTTGTGGATCTCCCCCACATTTTTGAATGGGTTTGTCGTCACAATTCTCTGCAGGGTGCGGTTATCCCTAGAGCTTGTACACTTTTTTCTACCACATTTTTTCCGTCCCTTCGCCTGTCTGTTAATGTGCTTGGACACAGAGCTCTGCGAACAGCCAGCTTCTTTAGCAATCACCTTTTGTGTCTTGCCCTCCTTGTGCAAGGTGTCAATGATTGTCTTTTGGACAGCTGTTAAGTCAGAAGTCTTCCCCATGATTGTGGTGCCTTCAAAACAAGACTGAGGGACCTTTTAAAGGCCTTTGCAGGTGTTTTGAGTAAATCAGCTGATTAGAGTGGCAGCAGGTGTCTTCTATATTCAGCCTTTTCAGAATATTCTAATTTTTTGAGATACCAAATTTGGAGTTTTCATTAGTTGTCACTTATGAATATCAAATTTAAATGTAATGAACATTGGAAATACATTGGTCTGTGTGCATTGCATGAATATAATGTACAAGTTTCACGTTTTGAATGGAATTACTGAAATATTTTCAACCTTTTGATGATATTCTAATTTACTGGCCAGCACCTGTATGCATGCATTGTGAAATCCAAAAACATCAATTTCTTAAACAAAAATGTGTACCAATGTCCAATAAATATTTCTGTATACAAGCACACTGAACTGCTTCTGTGTAGGAAATATATGTGTGATATAAATATATAGCTGTTTTGTCTCGTGTGTTTATTTGATATTACTCTTTGAACTAACAGTTTTACATCTCACATGCAACGTTTTGCAACTAAATATATTTATTTGATATTAACCTTTTAAAAACTGTTTGTATTAAAATAAATCCCCTTTATGTCTACGGTAAATGTAGTTTTGTATAAAAATAAAAAAAAAAATAAAAATTTTTTAGAATAGAACTTTTTTGTTATTTATTTCATTACTTTCATTATTTTTTAATCATTTTTTATTGTTGTTGTTCTCACGAAGTGCCTTGTGATTTTTATCTTAAGGGGTACTCTATATATATATATATATATATATATATATATATATATATATATATATATATATATATATATATATATATATATATATATAAAGCATTTCTTCTTCATGATAAAAATAAAAAAGCTATTAAAAGTGGTCATTTTGGTGTTTGCAACAGGGAAACACACTTAGTCTTTTCCTCTTTTTTTTTATTAAATACACAACTAAACCCCTATTTTGTAAACACACTGACTCTAATGAAATTGCTTTATTTGTTATAGATCTTTTGCTTCGCCACCCACAACAAAAAGTAAACAATCTAAGTGCAAAAGTTATTTACCAATAAATAGGAACAAACAAGAGCAGGCTCACTTTGAGTGGGTTGCACACATTTTGCATCAGAGGAGAGTAGAGAAGAAGAAGATTGTGGATTTACTTTATCATATGGAAGCAGTCAGAAATGTCTCAAACAATAAAAACACAATTAAAAAATGCTTGTAAAAGAGCTATTGAGTTGTGGTGGAAATATGTTTTAAAAAGCTGAATAAACATTCCTTAAAGTCATTAGTGAACATCTAAATGTGTTCTTTAGTAAATAGGACAATTGGGGTCAGAGTTCATGAGCCTCAAGCTCCTCAGTCATTTCCTGGTTTGAGGTTGCTCAACTTTCTGCCTGAAGGAAAGAAATATATAAATTAAAAAGATGAGAGTTGGCAAAACAAAAATCATAGATTCAGTAGACACAAAAATAGCATTTGCTTTAAACACAAATTGCAACGATATTGTCACCGGGTGGTGGCAGCAACGGACCATTCCAACATTTACGAACTAATATTTAATATAAAGAAAGAAACTGCAGGTTGATGAATTGTTCTCCGAAAAGGCTTTTTTATGAACATCTACTAAAAATAGTAGTTTTATTCAATGTCGTGGTCGCAGGATAACCACTTGGTTATGGCTGGACTGTTTATACGAAAACACCAACATTAACATAATGGTGAGCATTTCTAGCCCGTCTCTGGATCCGTTTGTTATGGTTAGCTTTAGCCTGCTAGCATCAAGCTGGTGTTACGCCGAAATGTGTTCTGTCTCCCGATGAAAACGGTTTCCGTCCTCAGCTGTGTGCTGCTGAGCGGTGCTCCTTTAACTTTATCGTTCTAAGCAGTGGTATTTTAAGACTAATGCATTATTTTGTCCGGTTTTCGTTCGTTGTAGCTGGGGGGAAACGCAGGCTAATGGTTGTTGGTGGTTCCTCTACCTGAATAGGAAAAGGAAAACAATACTTTACATTTGTTAAATGAGCACTCTGTACTTCACAACTTACATATTTTGAAATATTTATTTTTCTAGCTCTAATTTTGGATATATAAATGGTGGCAAATATACTTAAGAGGTCACAGATGTTGACCAGGTAACATATTTTGATATAACACCAGGCAGACATGCAGTCTGAATCTGATTTGTTGTTAAAAGCCTGCTGGCGCCTTCAGCTTTGTATTTATGGTTAAATGTTTTCATACAAACACAATTTGTTTTGGCTAATTTTATCATGATACATACGGCCCTCACCTTTCTGCCCCCCGCTGCTGAAGATGCCACAGAAGCTGCTGAATACTGCCCACTACATAGAGCTGGGTAGTTACCAGCACTGGCCGGTGCTGCTGCCACAGAGGATCCGACTGTACACCTACGAACAGATCCCCCTTTTCCTTAAGGAGAACCCGTACATCACTGACGGCTACAGAGCCCACCTGCCCTCCAGACTCTGCCTGAAGAGGTGAGAGTCGCACCTTTTAATTATCACAATTTAATTTGCTTATGCAGTGGTATGTATGTTATATTTGCCCTTTTTTCCTACAGTATTTGTATTCTGTCTAATGAGACGGTGAACATCTGGAGCCACCTTCTTGGCTTCCTCCTTTTCTTCTCCCTGGGAGTCTGTGACCTCTCCTCAGTCCTGCCAGATGCTGGAGCCAACAGAAAAGATTACATCATCTATGCCATAGGGCTTTTCTGCTTTCAGGTAACACCTGTTTACCTTTTCGGATTGGCGAGTTCACGTTGATACAGTCGTTTAACTCAAAGCCTGGTGTACCTGAATGAAAGCATCCTGTCTCTAGTCGAGTGTCGTCTTAATCCCAGGTGTTTTTTTTATAATGAAACTATAAAGATTTTTCCTGATTGTCTCAGTCTGTTGCATCAAAGTAGGATTGTGTTTCTGGTTTTATGTTTGTCTTTGTGTAATTATTCACTTGGGTTTTATGTTCCTGCTGCAGGTTCAGTCAGCTGCATTCAGGTGTGTAAGGCGTATGGCAGCTAGGAGTTGTGAAGCATTATTAGAGAGCTGAAATGCAGAGTTTTAGAATATGTCTCATGCATTTTTGTGTTGTAGTTCCATTATTTGTGCAAAATGTACTAGTTAGAGTGGATATTGTGACAGTAAATTGTGTTCCCCTTTTTCTCTCTATCGCCTCATGTACACGTTCTGTCAGAGTTAAATGTCCAAGTAGATTTGCTGTTCAGATACAATCTAATGATTAAAAAGATACATTAGTTTAATGCCTTAAACAGTAATGAGTGATATTAAAATACCCTAAACTAATATGCTGAATTTAGCTAGTGCTCTGTGTGTGTTTCCTTTCCAGGTATGCATGCTCTGCTCAGTGGGATATCACCTGTTCTCGTGCCATCGCTCAGAGAAAACCTGTCGCCGCTGGCTGGCGCTGGACTACGCGGGCATTTCTGTGGGCATCCTGGGCTGCTACGTTCCTGGGATCTTCTATGCTTTTTACTGTAACGCTGTGAGTGCAGACCTTTGGCAGAAGCACTTAGAAAAGGATTGTTGAATGATTTCTTCTTCTTCTCCTTCCAGTTCTGGCGGCAGGTCTACCTGCTGACGGTGCTGTCCCTGATCCTGGCCGTCTTCTGTGCTCAGATCCACCCTCGTTACCTCAGCAACGACTGGAAAGTTATCAGAATGACAATCTTCTCCGGTGTGGCGGGCATCGGTGTAATTCCTGCCTGTCATTGGGTGTGGCTGAGTGAAGGATTTACCTCTGAAATTGTGCAGGTCAGAAGAGTTCTTTCGTGTTTGAGTCAGGACTCCAGATCTTCGCTGTAACCTTTTCACGGCTTCTTTCTGCAGCTCTTCTTCCCTCGTGTGATTGTGATGTATCTCATAGCTGGATCTGCATTCCTGTTCTACGCCACCAAAATCCCAGAGCGTTATTTCCCCGGTGAGATTTGCTCGTCTTTTTCTCTGAAAAAATGGAGACGCTTCAGTTTAAAACTGGGACTCTTAGGAAATGTTGAGGGAAGTCTGAATTTGAGAACCACAAATTTTGTAGTTGTGACATTTTTATTTGCCAGGATTAAATCTGAGTTTTCTCCAAAATTCTCTTTAAGAGAAACTTTGTGGTTTTGGCTAGCTTTTAGCACCCCCCCCAGTGTCTGTTTAAATTCATTGTCGTAAAAATGAAATTAAAGCTCCTCGTTCTGCATTTGTGTTTTTATCACCTTAATCTAGCCGCTGAAATGTCTCCTCAGTCTTTATTAGTGTGCACAGGAGTGATTCATCACTAAATCAACCAAGTCGGCTGTGTTCATGATCTAAAACATGCAAGAAACATGTCTCCGTGCTCTTGTGATTCCAAAAATTCCGGATGTTGACTCCTATTGTGGTCTGACATTCTTTTAATATTTAGCTTCATCAGATAAATGTTTTCTTTCTTTCTTTCTTTCTTACAATAAATGTTAACCAGGTATAGCTCGCCTGTTCTGAGGTGTAAACATGGATTGCTGTAAAGTGTGACTGTGGGAGACTTCAGGTCTGGAGAGGCTGAAGTTGCAAATGTGGTGTTCTGTTCACCAGGGGCAGAGGAGGCTGAGAGACTTTTCATTAATCCTGTAAAGCAGCGGCTCCCAGCCTTTTTTGACTCGTGGAATCCCTGAGCCATTTACTCATACCACGAGTCCCCCCTTAGTCAAATGTGTTGACGATTCCCTAAAGTAGACCGTACAACTGATTATTAAATGAAAATAATTTCAATAAATCTTATTAACACTGAACCACATCTAACTTCTCAGGTGAGTTCTTTAACTTTAACAATCCTCATGCAGGGTCCAGAAAAATAGACTCCCATGTGGAAACTTTCTGGAGCTCTGCATTCAGATCCGCACCACAGCCTGTGTGAATGCTCTCATTGGACTCAATGATTTCTGACCCATGTGAAACTGGAGTGAATCCCTTCTACTTTTTTACATCATACTAGGTCTGCCACAAATATTTTAATAGTCGACTAATCGCCAGTTTTGTTACCATTTGTTTAACTAGTCGACTAATCATGTCATGCATAAATTATAGCTTATTGCACCAAGATGCTCTAATATACCCATCATTAGCTTCAAGGTTGAAGTGTGATCAGCTATGTGCCATCTAATGATAAAGACAAGATGATAGCTGATCAAACAGCTTTTAATTAACGTTGTAACCTGTTAATACAAATGCTACAGTCAAATGGAGGTAGGCACCTAAAACTAAAAGTAAAGTGTACACAAACCTGACTTGTGCTCACGAAAGTATCCATCTAAAATAGTGTTTTTTCCTACACAAGATTCTTGTTCACAGTCAGGAAAGTTAGCATTTCAACATGCTCTGGAGAAAGGCTTGCTCTCTTGGAGCAGATGTTTCCAGCTGCAGAGAAGATCTGCTCTGATAGGGTGGAAGTGGCAGAGATGCACAGAAAGGAATTGGCCAGCTTAGTGTGGCTAAATCTTCTCTGTGCATGTGGGGAAATTAACCTCATCTTCACTCACCATGTTCCTGTCTTCACTCAGGAAATGGCAGGGTACACCTAAGTATGCCTCTGCTGCACGGCTGGTCCTCACATCAGGGTCAGGGGGCCATAGACAGCTCTCAGGGTCTGCTCTACCTTAAAGATAAAATATATAAAAGTTAGTTTATTTAATATATTAATAGTTATGTTGTATCAAATAAAGTAGGTGAAGACTTAACACAGAGAAAAAGTATTGTGCTTTAACCAATGTTAGTTTCTTGATTGCTCAGTCAGCAAACTTTATTTTATCATAAAATGCATTAAATTCTAAAATTATTTATTTTACTTGTATCCACACACACACACACACACACGCACGCATCATCCACACACGCTTGTGTGGACCCTTCATTGACTTCCATTCATTTATTTATTTTTTGTTACTATATTATGGCTAACCCATACGCCAATCCTAACCGTAACCAATGCTTTTCTATTCCTAACCCTAACCTAAACAAGTTAATTCACACCATATCTCTAAAACCACGTTTTGGGGTATTTTGTCATTGTGTGGACCAGCCACATGTCCCCACAATGTGAAGATGTCCACACACTACAGGTTTAAAGTTAAAATTTGTCCACATAAACCTATAAATACAAGTACACACACACACACACCTTCTCAAAGGTTGTTTCATATTTATTTTCAGTCATTGTGGTGAAATGGGATCGGCCTGGTTGGTAGTTGTCGTGGTAACTTGGGTTGAAATGCTTGATCATCTATGTTCAAAAAGGCCTCGGTCAGGACGTTAGCTTGCTGTTCACATGTTTGGCTTTGTAACAGACTCTTCCATTGAAGAGGAGAACTGTCTTCAACACTGACGTAGCAGGACAAAATAAATCATTAGTGTTTGTAACGTTAGAGCAAAAACGTGGCATACATACGGGTTCTAAAGGTAATAAAATCACCACCTTTACTGGTGTTTCTACACTTATGAATACGAGTAACTCTGTTGATATTAGCAGCAACTCTTCATTCTCCGCCATGACGTGCTTCCCTTAAAGGTATCTGTGCATTGCCAATGTGCTCCTGTGATAGGAGGATTTCATATAGCAGATTTTGTGCTCTACGGGCTTCTCTTTTGTATTTGTAAAATGCTCCGAAACTTTTGAGCTACGTTGCCGAATCGCCACGATGTCTTCTTTCTCCCTGGTGATCCTGATTTGAAGGCTGACCCGGGTGGCCGCTACTGTGCTTGTGCCTTGAGGTGAAAGGCAGAAAGCAGCCGCCGAAGGTGCCGCAGCAGGCCTGATTTTAAAAATGCTTGTAGAATAAACGACATTGACTATTAAATTTATAGTCGGCTATTTTGTTCGTCAACGTCATCGTGACGAATCGACTAATCATGGCTGCACTACACTATATTCTTACATACTGTACCTTTAATTTGATGGTTATTTTAAATGTATTTTTAAGATTTGAAGGCACAGTTTTACGCATTGTTGACCTTCAAGTATTCTGTTTAATTTACTAATTACTTTTAATAATAAATGGGAATGACTGAAGTTCTGCAACATTCTGAAAAGTGTAATTTACAAGTTTTGACCAAATGACCAATGATTCAAACTCAGCCGATTCTGAAATAATGACCACTAGAGGGCGGTGTTGCCTGGGTTTCAGTTCTAACTTTTAACTAGTAAAATTTTAAGACATGCACAATGATAAACACATTTGCAATGAATCATCTTAACTCCCCAATGAGCTGGAGCCAAGAGTCTGCCCAGGAAATAATCCTGACCTGAACCAGCGAGTGGATGTGTAGCCCCCCCCCCCCCCCCCCCCCCCCCCTCACTCCTTTGTTCCCTCCTCTCCGTGATTGATGTCAAGTTGTTGTTATTGTTGTTGTTAGCCTCAAGGGCAACATGCCGATTATCACTTGTAAGTCGCTTTGGACAAAAGCGTCTGCTAAATACATAAACATAAACATGTAAGCTAATGTGTTAACTGGCCTAAACAGTCAGAAAACAGTCTTTATATGTAAGATTGAAGCTTTGTGATTAGACTACAACACATTCATAAACATGGCAGCATTAAGTTATTTTCTAAAAGTTAATTTTTATTTATTTTTGGACATCAGCAATCACATGCTTGGTTTCCCATTTTTCCCTCCAGGTCAGGTGAACTACGTCGGTGCCAGCCACCAGGTGTGGCACGTCCTGGTGGTCCTGATGTTCTACTGGTGGCATCAGACCGCCGTGCACATCATGCACTTCCGACACAGCCGGCCATGTCTCGGCCTGAGCAGCAGCTTTACCTAAGGGAGCCTCAGCTTCCGGCGGCATGGGCAAATTTACAGAATTTACACTGCATTCATTCATTTTATTCTAAAAGACAAAAGGGATAATTTGATGGAAATTAGCAAACCAGATAATGCAAATACAAACATTTTACATAGTAGGTTGTTAAAGACAGAACAAACAAATTGTTGTTAGGGAGATTTGTAAAATCTAATATGGTATAGTGATCTACTAATATTTAAAATGAAAACTTTTTTTTGTTGGCCCCAAGAGATGATTGCAGCAAGTGAAACCATTAATTATTATTATTATTATTATTTTTTTTACATTTTCCCCAGCATACAGATCCACCAGGCAAGGCTAAAAAGTAGCCTTACATTCAGTTGCAGACACCTGATGAAGTTATATGACAAAATGTAAAAAAGAAAAAAGAATTGAGAACAGAAACTCACCTCTAAGCAGCCTGGTCCAGAGTTAAAGTGTTTGGACCACCGACATATAAATATTGGCCAATGGGTTTCCATAGGCTCCAATAACACAGTTTTGAAGAAAAATGGGAGGTGGCCACCACCGCCATTTTGACCGTGTCACAGGTTCCGTCAAGCCCAGACAATTCCACAAAAGGGGAGAGAGGAGGAGCTGAGGGTGGGGCTGTAAGGCTGGGATCAACTGACGACACCCGGTCGAACTAGCTACAAGCTAACCTGAAGCTAACCCAAAGCTAATGCGGAGGTGGGAGCTAAGCTAACGAAGGTGGCAACCTAGCTACAACCGGAGTTAACTGTGCACAACACCAGAGCTTCTGAGTCAGAGAGACGCCGGGCTGACCGCTGGGTAAAACCGGGTGGAACACAGAGGTCTCCGAGACCTCCACAAGCCGGCAGCCGCACAGCAGACAAGCGCCGCTGCGATCTGAGATGCGCAGAGCTGCCTCCTGGGGAGAACCGGGTGGAAAGGTTTCCATCCCAGAGCTCCACAAGCCAGCAGCCCGCACAGCAGTCAGGAGCCGCGATCAGACAGAGATGCGCCGAGCTGCGGGGAGGGGAGAAGAGCTCCACAAGCCGATAGTCGGAACCCAGCTCCACCAACATGTTATATTTTCAACCCATTTTCTAAAGTGCAGCATTATGTTAAATGCACTGGGTTTTACCCTATTACATTTAAATTTCATGGTTAAACAGTACATGTTAAAATCTAAGCTCAGCTCAGCAGTGACCTAAAATACATAAATATAATTTTACTTACCGAAAAAAATGAAGTGGAGACTCCTTGGATGCTCTTATTAGTGCAATTAATGCCACAGCAAGTCATTTTGTCCAACAATTGCACAAAAAACATCCAAAAAAGAATACACAAACACAGAGACTCAAAATCCTGGAACAGTTTCCAAGCCAGACCGAGGCTCTACTGAGGCCTTTCCACTGAGCTAGCTCTGTGGTCACGTGGGTCTGAGGCGGCGGTCATGTGTGTCGGCTGCTCATTAATTATACAGAATTTTAGGCTTTTAATACACTTAAACAGAAGAGTGAGAAAAAAATTCACCCCCCTCAGAGTTGTCATGAGTGTAAACTAGATAATTTAAACCAAAAACATGTTTTGGTACCAGGCTGTAAACATGTTTATTTCTGCTCTGAAATTGGTATTTTTAACATGGAAGTCAATGAGGATTTGCTCGCTTCTGACACCAGCCTCCAGCGGATGAGGGTGGAACTGCAATTTTTGGTACTTCCGGGTTGGAGTCAATTTTTGAGCCGCATTGTGGGGGCTTGGTTTGGACCCACAGCTCTGCGTTGGTGCACTGTTTGCCAGTGTTTGGACTGGCTCTTCCACGTCCTGCTTCTCCGTCCCGGTGCTCTGTGTTGTCTGCCCCGCAGTCCCACTGCTCTGTCCAGGTGCTAAATCTGCTCCACCGTCTATGGGTGTAAAGTGTGCTAAAGCATAATTTTGTAGTTTTTAAGTCAACGCACATTCATTACTAATTGCTAGCTGCTGTTGCTCCATTAGCCATTAGCAATGTGAGTTAGCAATTATTCTCTCAATATTTAGCTTGTTTATTAAAAGAAATTGAAATATTATTAGTGGTATAGCAGATATCATTTTAAACTACAAACAAGTACGAAATGAAACAGTTACAAAGGTCCATGTTTTTTAAGTACTGGCTAGTTGCAGAATATAGCCTATAGTATAAATCTCAACTGTCGACAGCCTTACCTTAAAAAAATCACCTGTAAAAGCTTTTTATGCATGTAGGCTACCTTTATATTGCATAAAACATATTCATAATTTATTTTTAACATCATTTGAACCTAGGAAAGAAGGGAAAACTTACCTATGCAGCCTCCTTTACCTCCAACCACACGCAGAATGAGACTCTGACTCCTCCAACTCCAAAAGTTGGCTTTCCCGCATTTCACAACAAAAGCATGGACGTTAGCAGAACTTGGGCACAATATTATTAAGTCCAACTTAAATATGTAAGTTCATACAACTCACTTAATATTGTTGAAGCACACAACTAATTTGGCTTGTCGGGCTGACTTAATTTATTGCACTTAATTAGTGAAACGTGGATTTTTAAGTTTAAACAACTTAAAATACCTTTTCATCTCAAAAAACTTAAGTTGTTTTTATTACAGTTGTTTGTAGCCACAGCTGCCCTGCAGGGCTACAATGTAGCTCATCACCACCAGGGTGTGAATGTGTGATTGTGTTGTAAAGCACCTTGAGGGGTTCTAGGACTCTAGAGGGCGCTATATCAAATACAGGCCATTTACCATTTGTTGAGATCCTCAAAACTCAAGAAAGTAATTTGAGGCTAAAAAAACCCAACATGATAAAACAGAAAGCACTTTTTGCTAGAAGTAAGTACAATTAATTTTAATTAATTTGTGCACCTTAGTTTTTCATTTGTTTGTGCTTAAATTATAAACTGAACAAACAAACAAAACTTAGCATTTATGACACCACCCCCCCCCCCCCCCCAATGTGAACTTGCAAGGCAGTGTGACACCTTATTTGGTTCACCAACAAAACAAAACAAAAAACCTGAAGCATTTTTTTGTTGTTGTTTTTAGATAAAAGTGAAAATTCATTTTTCTATTAGCAAAATAGGCTAAGAACCCTTTAGCGCTCCTGAATCTGACTAGATTTGTTCTGTTGTAATTAATACTCTGGGTGTTCTGGGTGTTGTTCTGGGTAAACTACAAAAAAACTACTGTAGGGATTTTCTTAAATCAGCTTCAGGTCCTTACTTACATTCTTTAGCCCTGTCCGTAACCAGACTGCAAGTCTTTCACAATAAGAGTCTCTGATATGCACATGCACCTTATACTAAAATTATTATTATTATTATTATTATTATTATTATCTGAAAAAGCATGTTGCAGCCTGAACCAACAGGAATTTAGAGAAGTTATTTACACTTTTTGTTTTTATATTGTGAAGCTTCAAATTCAGTTTGCAGCTGCGCATTAAACCTATTAGACGTCCACACAAGGCATTATGGGTATTTTAGGTTCTTGTGCCAGTATCGGTTTAGTTCATGATTCCCCTTAATAACTTTGACTTAATTCTCAACTTTAAAAGGGAACATCAGTTTTAAAGAAATTAGATTTATTGAAGTACTGTTTCTTTAAGACCATTGGGTGTTTTTGGATGAATTGTGACACCTGCTGACACTACATGTGTGAAATGGATATATAGGACCCTAAACAACATCAAACATCTCAGCATGTAGCTGTTCACACTGCAGAAACTTGAAGACATGATCAATCTGGAACTTTTTCTTCAGAATCAATGCAGTTTTTCTGACTCGTGTGTCAGCAGACCTGCGTGTGTAGAAGAATGTCTGATAAGGTCAGACTTGGATCCCTGTGGATGATTAAAACCAATTGTGTGGGCAGCAGGACTTTCAAGTCATGTGCAGACAAGTAGTTTTACACTTTTAAGAAGTTTTCGATCATGTCTGTACATTTTTGTCCAGTTTAGACCTTAATGTCTAAGAATATCCTGAGAATGTACTTCTACATGCACGTGTGTTTCTCCTCTTGCATGTAGCAGAATGGGCATGTTTCATGTTTACTGTGTTTAATTTGCCTTCTGTTCTTGAGTAATTGCACAGTCTTTGCACAAAGTGTTGTAGTCTGTGGGTGAAAACCAGTGCAAGCTGATCAAACTGTTTCACTATAGGGTTGTTTAGTTTTACATACTAAAAATAAAAGGTCAGCATAGAAGCTCTTCCTGGAAATGCAAAGTGAGTGACTTTGTTTCCTCACGAGCTGATTCCTCTCTGTGTAATCTCATACTTGTTTTTGATCTGCCATGTTTGCAGTTTTTTCCCATGAATGTTTTTACCTCTTTGAGCAGGCATGAAAAAGGGACGTGTATTTTGTTCATGCCTCTGCCTAAATCTATTTTTAAACATTTGAAATGAATAAAGAATGCTGAACACAAAATGCAGTTTGTGATGTTTGCATTAAAAAAATTGGATGAAAGATTTGACAATTTCTTTGAACAATTTCCAATTATTAACCGAGACATCCCAGGTGTCAGAGGTGTTTCCTGTTGTATGCATCATTAAACAATAGGGGGCAGTGTTTGGCTTTGAAGTTTTATCCAGAGTTAAATGTTGCTAGAAGTGATTGAAAATTCTTAGAGGTTTGGTGTGTTCCTCTGAAAACTAAAGAATTAACATTTGTTGTCATTAAAGTTATTCAGAAAGGATGTCCACCAGGCGAAGGATGTCAGTGAGTTCATAAAACCAGATTATGTTTTTATTTAATAACATCTACCAGATATATCATCTAAGACACTGTATTAAGACGTTTCAGAGGTTCTGAGAATACCATAACCTTATTGCAGACTGACACAAATAGGTTATTAAGTGTTGTCATCCATGTATTATCTCTACTGGGAATCCACATCCTCCTGTGTGAGCCAAAAGATCATAAATCCATTCCGTACATGCATGTGCGTTAGTGATTAGGTAACAGTAGGTGTTTCCTTGGTATTTCATAAGAGTTTACATTTTTTAACATTTTTGCATATTGTTTTTTGGTCAGAAAACGAATAACCGTATAATATGTCCTTAGTTGATCATCTGATGTTGAGATGAATTATTTAAATTATAAATAAAGATTTTTACTTTATCAGCATATTTTCCACAGACCGCAGCTCAGTTCAGTCACGAGAGCGTTTCTAGTGGCTGAGTGAAGCGATTGATGCCACTCAGCCAGTTTGACCTCATGTCACATGGTCACAGTCCTTCCCTCCATCTTTTGATGAAGACATTAGACACACATAAAGTCTTTTGCAGTATTTCACCAAGAATGAATGGAATAGAAGCTGACATGTGACATTTTATTCAGTGTATCCTTGAGTTGTTTCTCTATAGTTTTCACTGACTTGTAATTTCAGTAAAGAGGTCGACATCATACTGTACATCCCAGTGTTGTGAATGGAGTCGTACAATTGTATGTCACACGTAGGCGTTTTCAATCATTGATCTTTCTGGGGCAAGAACTGTTTTTTATACCTTGTTTACAGTTAATAAGTAAAAGATGAACCTCTCGTGAATATTTAACAGCTTTTGGGTAAGCCTTTGAGCGGAGAGCATGGATCTAGCCTTTTTTAGAAAATGAGTTGTAGGAAAGGAAGAGCTGTCACGGCACATAACATTAATGTGTGTGTGTGTGTGTACTTGTCTATACATCAAAGACAGGACCGATGACAAGCTTTTTACCTGTAAACTGAGGACATTAGTAGTGAAGTGAGGACATTTGACTGATCCTCACTTTGGCACAATTTTACAGAGCTCTACTTGTTAGTTTTAGAGGTATGGTGTGAATTAAGTTTTAGTTTAGGTTAGGGTCAGGAGTACACTGGTTATGGTTAGCGATAGGGTTAGGCACAATCATGTCACTAAAATGAATGGAAGCCAATGACAGTCCTCACAACGCATGTAAGATGAGAATGTGTGTGTGTTTTAAATATGAAGTTAAAGCATTACTTGAAGGAATGCACTTTGCTTGCTGCCTTTCATGCCACTTTAGATGTTCATCTGTTCCATCCTGATTCAGTGACTAGGTTTCCAGTCCAGCACATTCTCAGGTTCTGCAAAGTTCTGTTAATCACCCATTTATGGAGCAGAGACACATCTAAAACCTATAGGATGGTGGGCCACAAAGAACAGTGTTGGAAACCATTGCTTTAAACTATCAGAAGTTAATTTGTTTACATGGTGGATGTTTGCAGCTTTACATCCTCACATGTCATTTAAAATAATGAAATGTTTTTGGTCTCCATCGAGTTCAAATCCTGGACCTTTGCTGCTCAAGAAACTACAGCAGGTTCTACACCACCACCACCACTTCTCCTTTACAACCCAAAAGTCTCTCTTGCTCACACACATGCACGCGCGCACGCACGCACGCACGCACGCACGCACGCACGCACGCACACACACACACACACACACACACACACACACACACACACACACAATGCTGCATGTTCAACACATTTCTGTGGATGTTGAATGCAAACGCTATGTGAAAAAACAAGATTTATTTAATTACTCATCTGATTCAAGTTAAATTGAATAACAAAGATGTTAGAACCTAAATTAAATTAAAAAACTATAAATACAGTTTCCATATTTACCATCAATCTATATTATTTCAATGGTTTTTGATGACAGCCTATACAAAAATGTTACAAACACAATCATGTTTGGAGATAGCAGGTTAAAAGACAACAATAACATACAGTAGTTTACCAAAAAAACAGCAGTTTGAGCTTATTTTCAAATAATCTTAGATTTTTTTAAGGCAGACATTTTACAAGATTTTTCCAAGAAAAACTCAAGCATCACCTGTGAATGTTGGATTCTTCAGTACAAAATGACACTTTAAAAGAATAAAAAATTATTAGTTTACATCCAGCAAAGGTGAGCAAATATCGCAGATGTGACATTTCCCTTTATTTAAAAAAATCACTTCTGCAGAAATACAAACATGTTCAAATGACCCATTTTCTAAAGGCATGAATACCTTGAAGTGAAGGAAATACTTAAATAAAAAAGGCATTGGTGAGCATTGGGCAAGTCAGGAAATGATGGCTAAATGTTGAAGTCTGGACTCTGAACCGTGGATTTACAGTGAGCTATTACGGACTTTGAGTGTTGACTTGAAATCCCTTTTATAGTGACACAGGTATTTATTTAGAATTCATAAAGCAACAACTAGAAGATAACTGGACTGGGAATGGAAGGAATCCTGTTTCTGTCAACTAAAATTCCTAATGAGTTCAGTTAGTCGAGACAAGCAAACCCATCTGACGTCTCTAATGTTCTGGCTAACTGCCTACATACCACTCTACCTAATCTCTAGTCAGAACCTTGTCTGCAATGAGGACATGTGACTTCTACGATTTAGATCTAAAGACAGAAAATTATCCAAAGTCATGACGAATAGTACAAAGCCGTGGGTGTGTTTGGTTTGGCTCGCCACTCATTTCCTCTCTCTTGTGCAAAAAGTAAGGGGGGGAGTTCATGAGAGGCGGACACAGAATAGACACTGGCCTATAGCTCCAACTTACAACCAAACATTTACATTGCAAATGACTTTGTTGAAACATAACAGAAGCAACTTTGAAACTGAGCAAACAAAGGATCGAGGGATGAATTGTTTAATTTAGGGACACTTTGTCCATTTTCCTTTTCTAGTCATGTATAAAAATAGATTTTTTTTAATAAAAAGCAAATTGGTGACCTTGTTTTTGTTGATCAGGGAAAATATTTAGATCTTTAAAAGTGATTAGTATCATAGTTTTATTGGGTACTTAAATTGTTTAACAGTCAAAAATAGAAATGATCTCTCAAACGTTTTGTACGCATGTGTTCTTTCAGACAAAGTAAGCATCCATAAAAACATTTTGTTACAGTCTAGGTTATCTCTCAAAGGTATAGCGGAGAATCTTTTTCTTCTGGGGGGGATCCCCTGAACCATTGGTCTGCATAACAGTCTATCACTTGTAAGTTGCTTTGGACAAAAGTGTCTGCTAAATACATAAACATAAACATTATTCTGGTAAACCATTCACACAAAGCCGTCGTCGTACGTGCTCGTTGCTGTGAAGTTGTCACTTCATGCACATGCACAAAGGTTGGGCTTCCCATAGACGCCTCTGTCACCGGTTTTCTGCTCGATAGGTGAGTTAAAGTTCAGCATGCTATTTGGGGAAAGTAATTTCAGATTACTGCTAGAAGAAGTGCTGCAATGTCGGCAGCTACTTGTAAACAAAATGTGCACGAGGATAATTGGGCGATCTCTCTTGTGCAATTTTTTCAAAACGTGGAGAGGGCAGTTCTTTCTTGAAATTTAGAAACATCCTCCGCCATACCTTTAAGCTAAAATAAGTCTACACCGTAGAGTTCTCAGACCTGCTTTCTTCTATTGTTGACATTCTGTTTGCATACAGAACAGCAGCGTGAACAGTATAAAACAAGAGACTACTCATGTCTTTGTTATGTTTCCCAAAGAACTGTCCCTTCTGCAGAACATCAAGGACCAAAGTGTTACAGCTGGCAAGCAGTACGTTCACACCTATCTCTTTATACTCCTTTACCAGACCTTTGAAAGTGGCCATGCCAGTTGAGTCTATAAAAGGAATAGCAGAACAGTCTAAAACGATTGTGTGGACCTCCAGTTCTCTTTGGACCAGCCCTATGAAGATATCACCATTGTTTTTCTCCCCGTTTGCAGTAGCCTGCTTTTTGGTCATTTCTTTGGATTTCTTCTCAGCTTTTCTCCTCTTGGTCAGCTCCAAGAATGGTTCGACCCCTACAGCTTTGTAGAGGGATTTAAGGAAAGAATCCTTGTTGGCATAGTAAAGAGGAGCCTGGAAGCGGAAGATCCTAACCTGAACTGGTGGTGTAAGGTTCTTGTACTCATCAATGTCCTCATAAAGATCAGTGTCACTGACCCGACCAAGGAGAGAGACCTGAAATCAAATACAAAATTTTCCAGGTTATGGCAGCCTTTTCAGCAAACTCACTAACAAGATGATTATAGAATATAAATGTATTCTCATGACTTGAGGTATTTACTAACCTTTGGATTCTGGGTTTTATAAATTACGCAGATCATAGAAAAGACAATGCCAACGAGTAGGCCAATCTCCACACTGATCAGAGCTGTGGCTAACATGGTGACAAGCCAAACAGTGGCATCATTTCGGCTGGCACGCCACTTAGCAGGTACGTCTTTAAACTTCCTCAGGGCTCCTCTAAGGCTTACGATGATGATGCTAGCAAGGACGCTTTTCTGAAGTGCGGAGAAGAAAGGGGCAAAGAAAAGGAGGACAAGAAGGACTACCAGGGCACTGATCAAACTCGATAACTAGGGGAAGGAGGACAACAAAAAGAAGAAAGTTTTTGAAACATCATTGTGAATACACTGACCAAGAAGATGCTGATGTAGATACAGGAACTAATAAAGATGAAAAACTTTATAAATCTACTACATGGGTAGCTACTACTTTAATTTGATCAATTAAAATTTAGAATTTACTTACATATTTATGTTGGACTATTTTGGAATGTCTGAAATTCACCTGAGTCTGGCAGCCAGCAGAGTCTTTCACCATGGTCTTAGCCAAAGCAGCACTAGTGGTGAAGCAATGGAAGAAGGAAGGAACAACGTTGCAGAGTCCGATGGCCAGCATCTCCTGGTTGGGTCGTACGGTGTAGCCATTTTTCTTTGCAAACATCTCAGACAGTGACACGGTGAAAGCAAAACTGAAAAGAAACATGTCAAACAAGAGAGTTAAATTCATTGTTGCCCCTGTAGTCAAATAAGACACATAATTATGTAATGGGCATGGATGTTGGTCAGACACGCTGGAATGGCAGAGAATGAAAATCAAGGGTGGGAAATATGCCAGCTTTTCTATATTTAGGAAAGAAAGTACAATAAAAGCTCCCAGTGTGGACATGTGCTATCACAGACTGAAGATAACACAGCTACTTAAGTGTATTTGTGACAACCAGATAAGAAACACACATCAATATCAGGCAAACATACTGTAAAATAGTAGCAGGTTACCTAATGACTGCCAAAGGAATGGCATCCAGGGCTACCTGTGGCATCAGGCTAAAGGCCGGAACTTGGGGAGCAATAAACCCTGTGGGAATGTGGCCAGAAACACTGGAGTAATACTTGGTGTTGAACTCTCCAAAGTGGCTAGCCAGCGTAGCTCCTGCTACTACAACCAACTCTGTTGGCAAAGGGATCTTTAGGCGATCCTTGTAGCGCTCCTGGATCTCTTTCCCTGCCACTGTAAAGAAAAGTGTAGAATTATTCTTACAAAGAAATAAATAAAAGCAAAAGGTAGGGTTTATGTTGAAAACAAATGAATGCCAGACCTAAAATTGAGATACAAATAGCACTGGTGATGAGGTCACACAAGTTGGTTTTGTGAATGTTGGCAAAAATGTTGATCCATGTAACAATTACGGTGCCATAGCCTTGGTGACGAGGAATCTTCAGTCCCAAAAGGTATTTCGCCTGCACAGTTAGGATGGTGACAGAGGCCCCAGTGGCAAAACCATCAAGCATGGGCCCCGAAAGGTACACAGAGACAAATCCTAGCTGAAACACAGCCATCATGATCTACAGAGGGATACAGGAAATGGAAGAGTGGAGGGAGAGGGCAAGGAAAATAAGATCACATTCTCTGACAAATTTGACTGGCTACTGTTAACAAAGTTTCAACAAGTTTGTAAAAATGCTGAGTTCATAAGTTACCTCAGGGTTGTTAGGTTTTGCAGGTTTCAATCATAACCATTTAAAGGCACTTGATTAAAAGTTGAAGGACCATAAGCACTAATTCTAATTGCAAACTACAACTTTAGTTTGTCAACAGGAAAACCAAATTTTAACTTTTCTGTAGCCCATCAAATATCATTCAAACCATATGTGGTCCAATATCGGCCAGGAAATGTACCGCCCAAGAATTTATTTTCATCCTTTTAGTAAAAATCAATGGATTACTTGACTATTGGCTAAATGTACAGGTATTGTGTCTTTGGAGCTAGATTTTGCACACCAGAGTTGTGGGGTTGCAAGTGTTTTTGACAATCTTGGTGTTTTTAATAATTAAATACCTTCTAATAACATCTATATACATATATTACAGATGCAAATTTTTAAAAATATAGCAGCAAAAACTACATAAATAAACTGTAGGCTATACTTGGAAAATGTTTTGTGAGGCATTTTTCAGTTCTACTCTGATTCAAACAATTTGGTTCATTGTTAAAAATGGTTATTCACATGGAGGCGGCGGGGACTGACGCATATCGCTAAATAGCCACCAGAGGGCGGTTTGATTTCTTTCAGCTTCATGGTATGAGTAATGATCCTTGGTGTGATGTAAATTGATTGTCCTTGTTTGTCTTCTACACACTGAAAATTTTAGACACATTTCAAATTTCAATAGCTTGAGGTGGATGCCTGTTCAGGCCGATGAAACAAGCCAATCAGAGCAAACTCTAGCCTCGTGAACTAGACCAAATTCTTGTATTGCAAAGTTTGGTCTAGGAATACTCCATTGGAACCAGTACTGAAGACGCAGCACCAATCTGCCTATCGATCTCATGCTCCATCTTTCCCTCACTCGTGAACAAGACCCTCCCCCCCAAGATACTTTAACTCCTCCACCCTTATCTGATTCAGAATACAGACCAATTACCTCAATTATTTTAAGTAAGTAATCTTTATTTGTATAGCACCTTTCGCAGGCATAAGCCACAAAGTGTTTCACAACACTGTAAAATGATTTAACAATATATAAGTAGAATAAAAACAGTGAATGAAAACATATCATAAAAGGCCCAAAACACACAGAAAACATAACTGCCCATAAAAAACTAGATGAATGCCTGAACAAATAAATGAGTCTTAAGTTCACTCTTAAACTTGTCGACAGAGTCAATTACATACAGAGCGGTGGGTAGATCATTCCAGAGCCTAGGAGTTACAGCTTCAAAGGAACGATTACCTCTAGTGCAAAAGTAAGTGCGAGGAACTCTAAGCAAATGAAGATCCCTGCACCTCAGAGCCCTTTCAGAGGTGTATGGTTGCATCAGATCTCTAATGTAAGAGAGAGCTTGTCCATGCAGGGCTCTGAAAACCAGAACCATAATCCTTAAAGACACTGGCAGCCAGTGAAGTTCATTTAGAATGGAGGATATGAGACCTCCTGTTAGTGTGCGTCAGGATTCTCCATGCAGAGTTTTGCACTAATTGCAGACAGTGGAGCTCCTTCTTGTTCAGACATGAAAACAAGCTGTTACAATAGTCCTAATGGGATGACACAAAAGCATGAATGAGGAGCTCCAAACCATTTCTTGACACCATAGTTCTAAGTTTCGGGATGTTTCTGAGTTGAAACAAGCAGTTTCTGGTTAGCTGCTTATGGTGCTGCACAAATAACGTTTCACTGTTGTTGATGACTCTTAAGTATCTAAGGCTGGACTTCACAGACATGCCTAAATCATCCAGGTACTGTTTAATCCCTGGGATAGAATCAACAGGGGCAGCAACCAGAGTTTCTGTTTTGTTACCCTTTAGCTGCAGGGAGCTTATAATAAGCCATTTCTTTATCTCTACTAAACAGTGGAGCAAAGAATCTAACTTGTTCAGCTCAGACTGCATAAAAGCGCGATATAGCAGAATGTCACTGGCAAATAGGTGGAAAGAAACGTCATTGAACCTTTGAATATTGTTACCCAAAGGTGTCAAATACAGCAAGAAAAGAACTGGACCCAGGACAGTGCCTTGGGGCACTCCACACAACACATCTGCAGACTCATACCATATTTGGTTTGCTGTAACATTGAAGCTACGTTCTGATAAATAAGAGGAGAACCACTGAAGCACTGTCCCTTATAGTCCTATTTGATCCCGCAGCAGAACCTGATGATCAAGTGTATCGAAGGCTGAAGAAAGGTCCAAGAGATCCAGAACAGTGCTTTTTCCAGAATCAGCAGCCATCATAATGTAAATGGACACTTTCAGTAAAGCTGTTTCCGTTGAATGGTATTTACGGAAACCAAATTGAAACAGCTCAAGGATGTTACTTTGGTTCAGGAAAGTAGACAGGTGTTCATAGACCACTTTCTCAAGAATAGTAGAAAGAAACAGAAGCTTGGAAATAGGCCTGTAGTTGCTGGGGTCAGTTTGGTCTAAGCCTGCTTTCTTCAGTAATGGCTCCATGATGGCATGTTCTTAATAACATATCACCACCAAATTAGGTCCAATCCAACAAAACAACTAATCAACCAACAACACGTGTGTGTGTGTGTGTGTGTGTGTGTGTGTGTGTGTGTGTGTGTGTATGCGGACATTATAGCAGCCATACTGCCTTGAAAAATAAAAATATCTCCAAATAAAGATAAATAACACTGGGCATGATTTTATCGGTTCACTTTGCTAAATGTAAAGCACATTGAATTGCCCTGTGTTTGAAATGTGCCATATAAATAAAGCTGCCTTGCCTTGCCTTTATTTAATGATAATGAAACTGAAAAGAAAAAAGTGAAAACAACTCAGAACAAATGACACAAGGCAGCTTTTAACACCCTAAACAAACATGCTCATTATTTTACCTGATAAACACCAGCCAGGAATGTAACAGCAACAGCGACACTGATGGCGTAGCACTCCCTGCCACACCTCACACCCATCAGCTCCACGGTGAACACATCAGTCAGGTTGGTGCCCAACGTTTCATTAAAGACATCAGGACCAGATGGTGTGGAGTCCTCATTCAGATCAAACCCAGCCTGGAAAACCTCCCTAACAACCACCTACAGAGACAACATACACAACAAAAACTACTGATTAGAAAAGGAAGACAAACCACTATTAAAAGTTTAAAATAAACAAACAGTTAAACTAAAAGGGCATTACATCACTGGTAAAATACCAATTGCCTCTTAAAAAAAAGACTAACAGTTTGTCACCTGTCCAATCATAAGGCTCATAAGGCTGAAGATCCCCACGGAGACATGTCTGGATGTCCCCGTCAGGAAATAGATGATGTTAGCATAGAATGACGTCAACAAGCCGTAGATGGGCTGAACTCCTGCTAATAAGCAGTAAGCGATGGCCTGCGGTACCAGGATGATACCTATAATCAACCCAGACATGACATCACCCCAGATGTACTCTTTCAGCTTGTATTTTGGTAGCCATTGGACTACGGGGAAGAAGCCCAACAGGGTGGACCGGACCTTTGGACCCGAGCACGCCACACCCTTTTTCAGCTTGGATTTGAGGACTGATGCAGTGGACTGTCTCTGGCGAACCCTCCGCTCCAGCAGAGGTGCCGCTGCCTGTGGGGTTTCAGTGTCTCGTAAGACCTCCTCATCCATGGTCTTGTAGAGGAAGAGGAGGAAGCAGAGTGACAGGAAGAAGAGGATGAGTAGGTCAGCTGCTCTCCTGGAAGAAAGACACAGAAACTGCTTCAATATCCGATCTTTGGGGTTCTTAACTGCTCTAAACACACATCTTAGCACATGAGTTAATAAAAAAACACCATTTTTGGGTTTTTCATGTTCAAATCCAAAACTTTATTTTCATACTTTCACACTACTATCTACAACCTTGTCCATCTTCTGTCCAGCTCATTAACCCATATGGATTTAAAACACCATTTTGAATATTTAATTTAAGCAAACAACAGAATCAGCTAAAAGTAGGGGACGTACACTTGATTTTTTGTTTCTTTACATCCTTTTTGGGCACCCCCATGTGCGATTCACACAGAAAACTCTGTTCCTAGGAAAAAGTAAAAATAGGTCGCCAAAAGGTCAACAGATATTTACGTTACAATATATTCTATAAATAATGTATAAAATGCCTTGCAGTCCTTTTCTTTGACCTCAATTTTTTTTTATTAATCCTGTCTGTCTAACATATTTTAAGGATCTTTCCTGTTATATTGGGTTTTCTCTTATTGTTTTTATGATATACTGTGTGCTTTGTGGTTGTGTTCAGCACCTTGGGCTTCTGATAAGGTCATGTAAGGTGCTTTATAAATAAACTTTGTGATGCCCGGGAACAAGAAAAAACTCTAAAAATGGAAAATATGACACATTTAAAAGTAATTTTAGAGGTTTTGCTAATAGGTTCAAATCAAAATAAACACAGAACTGAACTTGTTAAATGTCACAGTGAAGGTAAACCTTTAGGTTTCCCTTCAGTTTGGGAACTTACTACAATATTCCACCCAGTGTGTAAAAACAAAAAGCTAATGATCTTTTAGAAATTCCTAGATCAATAATCTGGAAATCATCAAGTGGCTTTACCAATGAAGCCGTGGCTAATATTTAGATATAATTCCAACCACAAAATAACTTGTTTTAAGGCTTAAGCTTGTTTATTGTTGATTAAAATGTCATGTTTGATACAATCTTTCTGCTGATTCGCTTAATTTTTTTATCATAAGTTTGAATAAACTTCTAAAAATACTTGCACTCTGGTAAAAATAATCCATCCATCTTCTATACCCGCGTAACCACTCAGGGTTGCAGGGGGCTGGTGCCTATCTCCAGCGGTCTTTGGCCAAGCAGGCGGTGGACAGGTTGCCAGTCCATCGCAGGGCAACAGAAACACAGTACCAACAAGCTAAGGACAATTTAGAGAGACCAATCAACCTGACAGTCATGTCTTTGGACTGTGGGAAGAATAGTACCTGGAGTACACCTCTGTAAGTGCACCCCAGGGCAGCTGTGGCTACATTGTAGCTCATCCCCACCAGTGTGTGAATGTGTGTGTGAATGGATGAACGATACACTGTAGTGTAAAGCACTTTGGAGTCCTCTGACTGTGAAAGGCGCTATGCAAGTGTGGGTCATTCATCATAACCCACACATCTACAGGGAGAACATGTTGGGATTTGAACCCAGGACCTTCTTGCTGCAAGGCAACAGCGCTAACCAGTTCTTGTAAAAAATCAATCTATACTAATTTATTTGACTTTTAACTGTACTCTGTAGATGTACATGTAAATAATATCTATGTGCAAACAAATGCCTTCGAGACAAAGGAAGATCTCTCTTCTTTTGCTGTTGATGATAATGAAGATGACGATGATGATGAAGATGATATTGATGATTGGTCCTTTTTCAAAAAGCTGTTAAATTACAGCTGTCTGGCTGTTGAAAAAAAACACCTTTTACTATCAATCATTTATTTAAATTTCAGGTGTTAGTTTCTGACTTTAATCTGTTTCTTGTGCTCTCCACTGAAGTAAAATAACTAAGTTGAAGATTTTTCCTGGTCTCTACAGCCTTTAAGTAACATTAAAGAGTCTCACTGATCGCATGATCAGCACATGCATGAATGAAAGTTGTGATTGCATGGTGGTCAAATGATTTTGTAGTAGCAGCTGTGCAGCAGGGGAAGCCATAAAGCTCTCTAATAGACATGTAATCTTCCTCGGCCAACACAACACTGGTATGTGTTTCGCTCCAGACTTCCTGGGGCAGCACAGGCTATCATGAGCTGATGTGAGGAGTGATTAATATCTTTACTAACAGTTGTTCAGACTTGAGTCTTTGTTTTTATTCTTGAGGATAGTTGTACTCAGGAGTTGGAAAAAGGGACATATGGGTCTTATCTGCTGTTTCTAAATGACAGAAACCATCACAACCCTTTTTTTTTCATCAAGCCAAGTTAAAAGCATCCTTTCTGTTCTGACCTGGTTCACCCTCAGCAACAGATAAAAATTGTCTCCATTAATTGTTGAGCATGACTGGATTCACAGGGATAGCCTTTTGAGGCCAAACAAATGTAATTTACTGGAGTGTCAGCCCTGAATGCAACAAAAAAGCAACAGATTAAAGCTTTTTGCCAACCGTTTCCAATCACTGTTCTCTGTCCTTTTACACCTGACTTAAGAGCACCCCGCAGTTACTCAGAAAAGCACATCAGAGGAGAGAGAGAGCCTCTTTTCATTTGATTAGTCACACAAAACAGTTTGCAATGTTCAGCCTCTGACATCGCTTCAGAAAATGACATCTTTTATCAAAATTTAAATCAGATTTGTGTTACGATGACATGAAGTTTCAGCTTAATTGTCTTGTCCTTGATTTTAACGTTGACACGTTAAGAGCGGAGAGGCCTTTAACCGGTGGCAGGTACATAGATGGGACGTGTGATGGGGGTTCATTGGCTTAACTTATGAGGTAATGTGCCACTGCAATGATTTAAAATTCTCAGCTAAACAATCGTGACACATTGACCTGTTGTTGGCGGTTCATATGATGACTGAATTGCACAACAGTGAAGACATTATGTCATCATGACAGAGTAATAGTTGAGGGAAAAAAAACTTTCACTAGAAGAACAAGATGTTTGGAAAACCTTTTCCGTCTCTAGAGAAACTAAAAAAAGGAAAAAAAATTAAACATCCTGCTTTTATTATGAAATACTCTTGTTGTATATATATGCTGTATACTTACATACACACACACACACACACACACACACACACACACACACACACACACACACACACACACACACACACACACACACACACTATATATATATATATATATATATATATATATATATATATATATATATATACATAGGCGGAGATCCCCGGGGGGGGGGGGGGGGGGGGGGGCGTCCCCCACACACAAAGTTGTCCCCCCCACAAAAGTTATTGTAAACACATAAATGCTATCAGTAAACCTGTATTTTCTTCTAAAACCACAATGTAAAAGTTAGTCTGCAAATACAAAACAATGTGTTTTTAATTGTTGAGAAATTATATATTTATAGATTTTGTGTATCTTTTCGTTCAGTGGGACTTAGATAAAGTTATTAAATATTACAGAGTTATTCTCTAATGGCCTACAAACATTTCTATTATTTATTAAAGAGATTTCAGTCACTTTGATACTTGACTTGTGAAAGCTGATTTGAAGTTTGTTATTTTTTCTAGGCATATTTAGAAGGAACATTTCAAATATATTAAAATCAATATGGAACTATTTGGATTTTAGTAGCTTTCATGTTATGTGATTTAATAAAATTTTAATTTGACATTTATGTTCTTTCTCTTTGTTGTGAAAAAGTTAGATATGTTTTAGTACTTAAAATTAATGCTTCTCGTCCGTCCACACATGTAGCTGCTGGTCAGCTAGTAGCCATGTCATTTCAGGACATGTTGCTTCAACTATTAACGATCTACTTTTAAATCTTTATTCTGCATTGGTTATTCCGTTTTAGGCCACAGTCTTGTTATTGAAATGAAAACAAAAAGAAAGGATGCTTATGGAGATGTACAAAATTGGCAAGATATTATTGTTGATCAATATCCTCCAGCTCCGTTCTAATGACAATATCCCATCTGTGTGTGTGTTGCTGTCCAACTGTCAGCAGACCAGGTCAGTTGAAATGGCAGAGAAACGAAAAACGGCAGACATCAGGTCGTTTTTTAATGCTTCAGAATATCAAGTAAGTAGAAACTTGCATTTTGATAAAGACATCTATAAGAAAGAAATGAAATTGTTTCTAAATGGTTTCATTAGGCAAAGTCCAGTCACTTGAGCACAGGCAGCCAGAGCCTGTCAGACACAGGCACAGAGTCTCAGGTCAGTCTCTTATAAGGACATACAGTGTTGTATGTAGAGAGCATTTTTTTTCATGTCCCCCCCAAAAAAAATTACTCTCTGAAGTTTTACAGTTTATTGCCCCCCCCCCCCCCCCCCCTCAAAAAATTGAAATGGGATTTCCGCCCTTGCATATATATATATATATATATATATATATATATATATATATATGTATATAAATTTTTTGCACTTTGAACATGTTGATGAAGCTTGAACGTTCCTGCGGGCTTGAAAGGAAAAAGCACATAAATAACATCATGATGAATGGAGACCTAGCATTCAGCGTCACATTCAAAACAATTCAGTTAATGACTGACGATGCACTCACCTGCAGAGTCGCTGCTTTCTGCAAAACCGGATCTTTTTCTATGTTTGTTTGAAATGCTGTCAGCCCTAATCTTTTCTCATAATCTGTTTCTGCTCAGGTGTCACCCACGGTGTCTCAAGGCTGCAGGGAGTATGAGCCTGATCTCTGCTGAATATAAAGTTAAGATAAGAGCAGCCCTTTGCTCACGCTCACACCTCTCTCCATTGGCCCGATCAGCTGGGAGAGGGCGGAACTTCCATTTATATGTGTGTCTGTGATCAAGAGGTTAGATCAAGTCAATTTTTCACCAGATCCCAATGTTTATCTTTCCTGTCGAGTGTTTGGGTCTGGGGTAGTGATTGCTAAAAGAAAAAGCGGTACATAGCCGTGTGTCAACAGGTTGTGCTGTTTAAATGCCTTCTGTAGACACAGTGGATTACATGGCAAACAGAAGATAAGACCAAAACAGGCAAGAGCCATTTGTGTGAGTTTGACACAAAAGGATCTAGCAGTCTTTTATAAACAAATCAACATCAGAAAAGATAGATAAATCAACTTTGATCACCATTCCTGCAAACATTTTCAGCTTATTGAAAGTGTTCCTTTTGCATATCATTAAAAAAACACATGATTAATCATACTTTTCAGGAAAAAAATAATGCACATTGGTGTTTAAAAGAAAAGAAAGTAAAAACCAATTAATTAGTGCAAAATGAAGCATCAATCACTTCAACTATACATTTTTTTCAGTCATTTAACTTTGCTGCTCATAGATTTCATTTAATTTTTCATGATACTGATTTCATAAATGAATCTGAAGCATTCAGCAGCTGCGCTCTCCTGACTGAACACTGGACAAGGTGTTTCCATCTTAAACAATAATTAATGCTTTCTGGTTAAAAGATGAATGTGTGTAAAGGGGAGGAGGACGCTGCACCAGGATGAAGCACAGGGCAGACTGCTTTAGTTCTGAATGTTGCAGTGATCTGAACATACTGTTCTTTCTGAAGAGAAGGGCGAAGGAGTTTAAGGTGTAATGGAATTCACTGCTGTTTCATTTCCATCTAGTGGCAGGTACAGTCCGTTACATGAACAATTATATCTGCATGTCAGAGGACGTTTCAAAGATTAAACACTAAAGTCCCATTACTTGTCACACACAGTGGTGTGAGGTGAAATTATTTTTCCGCATTTGACTCATCTCTGGAGGAGCAATGAGCTGCAGACACGGCCACACTCAGGAATCATTTGGTGGTTTAACCCCGCAGTAAAACCCCTCTACAGTCTTTGGTATGACCCAACTGTGCAGTTGAACCCACACTCTCCCAGGCCCAATCCCAACGCTTGCACTTCCACCCTTGCGCCCTCCAATTGCGCGATCCCAACCAGGGGTGCAGATGCGTAAGTTATCTCGATTCTCATATGCAGAAGTTCATCACGCCACTTTTGCACTTCACTCAAGTCCGCATCGCTGCAAGTATTACCCACAATCCGTTGCTGCAGGAGAAAAGGCTCAAGTGCCTTATCTTCTAATGAAAGTAGTTCATTTTAGGACGATTAGTTGATGCTCTGTGTAGTGTTGATGATTTACTACATATTTATTAAAATGACCAATAAGATTTGATAATTTCATATAAATATGAATCCGATTGATTTTTGAATGTTTAGTCAGAAGATTCTAGTTACTTTACTTATTCAGTGACCATAAACACACTTCGTATTAATTCAGACAAGTATATAGTTTATAATAATGAATTTTTTTCTTTTCCCTAAACTAATAATTATACATGACAAGGTGTGAATAATGATGTAATGTAAAGGATATGAAGAGATTTAATATAATGTGTGAAATGTTGCAGTGGAAGCTAGATGTTTTAGCAAAACCGTTCTTAAGTATGTGAGAGACTTAGTGAAGTCTGGGTTGTAAAAGAATTTGGCTGTATGCTTGTTAAACTACAGATTTGTTTATAAAAACCATCCATCGCAATCCGTACCAAGTATGCGCACACTTGTGTGGGGATTCTCGTGCGATCCAGGGGGTCAAGAGGTCATGATGGACACTGCCAGTGGAGTGAACCTCTCAGTATCAGGAACCTGTAGATTAACTCCAATAGGTCCCGTCTAGTTTGAGATCTCTCCAGGTGACTGCAAGAAGCTGGAATGCTTGTTTGCTGTTGTTGGCTCTAAGAAGAGCCATTTTGTGTCTGTATCACTCGCAGCGTTGCAGAGAGGCTTTGACCCGAGGTCAAAAGATAGGATGGTTTCAAAACTGCTTCTTCCCAGATTTGGCCGAATCCGGAGTCAGCTGGAAACTGAATTAATTGGGAAATAATTTATGTTTTATTAAAACCACATTGTTGATAAATTAGACAAATTTGGCATCAGAATTTGACATGTTTGTGGATTTTACCAAAACATTTCTCAAATGTCACTCCTTCCTTCAGTTACTCAGCGAGGTTAACTCTTTGTGGGAATGGGAATGTTTTAAAATACTTATGTGAAGTGAATGTTAACATTAATGATTGCCTTATTATAATGTGTATGACTATAGATATTGATTAAAGCACAGATTATTCAAACATCTCGTTCATTCAACACATACAATTATACCAACTTATAAGCTGTAAAGTTATTTACAATTCAAGAAGACTTTTACTCAGAGTGAAAATGAAGGAGACTCACTTGAGGCCTTGAGCAAAGATGTTATGGCTTCTTTGTTTAATAACAAGAGCAGAGGCAGAGTTCTGTTTTGGGTTTGGAGGCCATACAGACGGTGTGTTTGTGTCTGCAAATGAAAGGTTGCTTTCCGGTCAATTTGTTGGTGAAAATTTGACCACTGGGCACATTACATCTGAAACATTTAGGCAAAGCAGCAATAATGTAAATGTATTTCAAATAACTGCTTGGTTGTTTGATTGAAAGTTGTTAATAAAGGTTTTTTAAAAGTACCACACCAACCAACACCCTGGCATACTCCCTGTCTCAATTCTGCATTTATTTGCACACTTGTATACTACACACTCGAAGCCTTACAGCGCACTTTGCTGAAGAACGCAGGGCATAGTGCGAGTATTGGGATTGGGTCCAAGTCTCAGGACAGACACTCAAACCAAAAATGAATTTAGATTAGTAGAATGTTGGATCAATGAAAACAAGTTAATTACTAATGTTGAGAAGTCTAAATGTATGATTATGGGATCATCTCATTTTTGAGAGATCCTTTTGTATTGAAGTCAAGTATAGGGGGAACTCTCCTTGAGCAAGTAACAGAAGTCAAGTTGCTATGTCCAGTCATTGATGGAACGCTCATTTAACCCTTTGATGCATGAATTATGAAATCTTCAACCATGATTTTATAAACATTTTTTTTCATTCATCTTTAGGTGTGAATGAAACAAATTTCATATTTACATATTTTTTGTAACATTTAATTTACACATAGTTTATTACATTTCCATCTCAGTGGACAGCGTGCATTCTGAACATGAAATATGTTGGCTTGACTTACTGAAGTCCAAATGGAGAGGCTGAAATGCAATAAAGTCTTCAATAGCTGTGTTTAATAGCAAAAATAAATAAATAAATAAATAAATAACAGTTTTGAGTACCTGTCCACTGTAGTGACCATTATGCATCAAAGGGCTAGAATAGTCAAGTCAAACAGATAATAATTAAAATGGGGAAGGACATGGTAATGGTTCAGCATGGTAAAAAGATTATTCTGTATCAAAGTAGAAAATTATTAGTTGAATCTAATGTTCTGTGTCACTTGGGCTATTGTTCAGTAATTTGGGCCACTACTACAGAAGCTAATTTAAACAAACTACAGGTAGCACAAAACAAAGCAGCTCGGCAGAGCTTTCCAGTTGACATTTTATAAATATATACATATATGTATAGAAATTAAAACTTCAGATAACTGAAGTGGCTGATATCAAGAAATTCTACCAATGACTAGAAAAAGCTGGTCTGAATGACAGCATACAGGCACTCATCATGGCTGCACAAGAACAGGCCCTGAACATGAGAGCAACAGAGGCCAATTTCTACTACACCAGACAAGACCCAAGGTGTAGGCTATATAAAGAGTCCCCTGAGACAATCCATCACATAACTGCAGGGTGTAAGATGCTGACAGGGAAAGCATACATGGAACACCACAACCAAGTGGCTGGCATCGTGTACAGAAACATTTGTGCAGAGTATGGACTAGAAGCCCCAAGGTCAAAGTCGGTAACACCTCTAAGGTGGCTGAGAACAAGAGAGCTAAGCACCTGTGGGACTTCCAGATCCAGACTGACAAAATGGTGATGGTGAACCAACCGGACATTGTGGTGGTGAACAAACAACGGAGGACAGCCATTGTAGCTGATGTGGCAATACCAAGTGATGAAACATCAGGAAAAACAAACATGAGGAACTAGAGAAGTACCAGGGCCTCAAAGAAGAAAAGTGCAGTTCTAGGAACAGCTAAGATACTGCTCAGAACCCTCAAGCTCCCAGGCCTCTGGTAGAGGACCCAAGCATGGACGGATGAGACCACCCGCGGAGGGTGAGATGGGAATTTCTTATATGTATATATACGATATATATATATATATATATATATATATATATATATATATATATATATATATATACATATATATATGTAGCCCAGGTAAATAGTTTAGCTTAAGTTAAGTAAGTTTGTGTTAACATTTGGACATGCCATATAAATATGAATAAATAGGAGTAGGAAAGGAAAAACACTACAACATTAGAAATAGTAGTAAATCCCATGATAAAAAAGGTTAAGTATAATATGCTGAACTGAGGATTAAAAAGTACTAACAAAAAGTGTTTAAAGTGCAACATTTCTTCACAAGGTACTACATGTTTATTGTGGTCCTGTTAAATGGAGGCACCGCTATATAAAATACAGACGGTTATTGGTAAGTGGGTTACTTAGCAGTTCTTTGTATCGCTTGTTTCCTCAGGTAATACAGTTTTCCATATATATATCGAGCTCAGGGCCCCGTCCTCTATACTATAACCAAAGTCGTGTTATTATACGGAACGGGTGTTACATATATTTATAGTGTAGTTTTATTGTTGTTTATTTGCCTTGTCTGTTGTTTGTTTTGAAATGTTCTTATTTTGTTGTGGTATTTGGCACATTGTATAGTAGGGATGAATATTGTATGTTCAACTAGTTTGTTTGCCTGTTTGCCCAGAGTTGATGCATTACTTATGTTCATTTGATGACGAGAGGACCCCAGGAAGAACAGCAACAGTGTCTAATGGGCATTTTAATAGCAAACAAACAAACCAGCAGGCCACTGAGCTGGCTGGTACCAGAGTGGTGTGATATTCAATAATCAATCATCAGTGAAGACACAAATGTAGACACTAATAATTTCTCACTTAAAACAATTCTAATCCCATCAGTCAGTATTTCATGTTTTCTTTAGCAAA